ATACCGGTATGGGACGGTGGCATACTAAGGATGGATTAGTAAAACACTAAATCCTACCTACTTTGGAATGAGTTGGATTAACTATAAAAGGTTAAGTCCTACTTATATGGATGTCTATGCACCGGTATGAGACGGTGGCATATTAGAGACGGCTCAGTTCAAAACACTGAGACCTACCTATATTGGGGATAGATTAGTTCAAACACTAAGTCCTACCTATATTGAAATAAGATGGATTAACTACAAAAGTTAAGTCCTACTTTTAACTATGTGTCAGGTCAATAAATTATTTGAATGACACACCTTGAACGGACGTTATATATTTATGTTATGGTGCCATGGTATGAGCTGGAGTCTCAAGACTATGGTTAGGGTGCGTATATCGCCTAGGATGGATAACTGGACAGTGGTTTTGTTCCCTGGTAGGTCTAGATACACATGACCACATTACGTACGATTTGCATAGTATCTCTACTCAGGCTGAGACATACTTATTGGACTAGTAAGTGTCCTATAGTGTGTAATATATACATATATGGACTACTCTAGATATTGTTGAGTCTATCTAAGATGTTTTGCATACCGGATTCTTGTTTGGATCGTAGTAGATCAAGACTTGCATATGGGCCTGACCCACTTTATTATTTTTCAGGTGTTCGACAGTACCAGACTTAGAGCTTGATCGTGTTGATACAGATACAGACACTCACTCTTCCGATTACATAGGATTTCCTTTCTATTTTAATTTTGGATTTTAATTCTGTAAATTTATTCAAGGATTTGGGATTAGGGGTCCACTAGGTGGATTCCCGAGTTGTACGGTTTTAAATTATACTTAATTTATTATTTCAAGTTTAAGGATTCTTATTTTTAGATTTCTTTCAGCGTATTATTAATTTATTCTTAATTCAGTTTTTATTTTCTACTTGTTTACATATTAATTGTTTGGTATCCCTCGAATCTGTGCTCGGACTTAATTATCCATGGCTCTAGAATCGGGGGTATCACACCACGTAAATCTCGTTTTGCTTGTATGTGCTTTTATCTATTTTATTTGTCAATTGTGTGTATGATATCCTAGCACTTGTCATTCCAAATATTTAAAAAGTTAGGTGGCTTCTTGTAATAATTCTTAAAACTTCACTTGCTAAAGGTAGCTCTCTAATGTCATCACATGTAGTAGCTTTCCTCCGAGTAATAATTACATAATATATATATAAGTAGCTATGAAGCACCGTCACGTTGGTTACCCCCAATGTGTCAGTGTCAGATACATGCTTGACACGAACATGCGTGTCCGACGCTTGGACATGTTCGACATCTTAAATTCGTTTCCTAATTTTTCCCTAAAAACGAAGAACGGACACTCCAAAGACTCATCGACAACATGCTAGAGGACACGGCTCTCATATATATATATACATATATATTAAAGAAAGAAGAAGAAGAAGGTATATTTGTTCCATATACATTCAAGAAAAATATATGAATTTGAAAAGTGTTGAATTTGATTCTATGAATTTGAAAGTTGCCCACTAAAACTCCATGCATGTGTAATTATCTATTTTTTTTTTTTGGGAAATGATAGGGAGGCCAACAGTTGGACACATCTCACTGAATTTATGTGAGTATGAAATGACGTCATGATGACATCATCATATTTCATGACGTTATGATGATGTCATCCCCACTTACATAAATCAATGAGATGTATGACTTTCTAACTACTTATCTTTGTTTTTTTTTTTTTAAATATTGAATTAAAAAATTAAAATTTCGACCAATGATTTTTGTTTGGATCCAATTTCATGCTAGATCCATTCCATTTCGTAGTCAGTCAATTTTTGTTAGCACTGATGTCCCAATCATTGAGATCAAACCTAGTCCCTTCATATATTTTTTCATTTTATTTAAGTATCAATCCAATTTTATTAGCGACTAATGCCTCAACCATTGAGATAAATACCCTAAATTTATGTTTAAGAGTATCACATAAATTGTTTGAATTTGAAATTGAAAAGAATTTTGTTAAAACTTCTAACTAAATTTGTGTGGATTTCAAATCCAAAAGCTATCAATTTAGTACTCCAAACACAGTATAAAATAGAATACATCTGTTAGTGACAACAATAATTGAACCCATGGTTCTTTGTGGCATTAACCTTTGTCAAGTGGACTCAATAATTGAAATTTGTTGGTGCGTATAGGTTTTTTTGTTGTCAATTGAAAATAATGAAGTTAGATATCTTTCGATTGTACTCCTCCCACGTGATAGAAGCTGACCAGCACCAGCCTGGGTTGTTGAGTTTCCAAATTATTGAATTTGGAAATTAATTTAAACTATATATACATATAATGTAGAGAAAAACTCAAAAATTATTGAGTTTCCAAATTAATTTAAAATATATATACAAATAATGTAGAGAAGCGAAACTATTCCCCCTTTATGCTCCGTTCGGTAGAAAGGAAAAAATTGAATGGAAAAGAAAGAAGAAATGATGATTGAGACATCTCTAAGGAAGAAATTAAACGTTTCCTTCTTTTTGTTCGGTTGGATAAAAGATAATGGAAAAATTGACAATTTAATTTGATTAGTAGGATAAAAGGAAAGATAAATTTTTAAGTTATTTTTACCATTAAAGTTATCCCTTACTTTATTTATATTAATCATTATTACATGAATTAAATAATATTTATGGGATATATTATTTCAATTATTATTTCTACCATTATATTACTTTAGACATTACATATTTACTCTCTATATATATCTCTCATATGTGTATGGTAATGGAGTAGAGTAATGTGTGGTAGAGTGATATGCTGGAGAGGGATATGTTGTAGAGTATGCTTTGGTGTATAAGGCTGTGAGCCTATACTTTTACAAATTAAGTTTATGAGCAACTAAACTTATATAGACTTGGACCTAATCTTCCAGTGGTCGTGCACATGGAGGAGGCGCCGCTGTGAGCTGATTGAGTTGTATCTTGGAACTGTCTAGTTTTGCCAATACTCGAACGAAGGGAGGACTATTAGCTTTAGGTCAATGTGTTTACACATACCTCAATAATCAAGCCAATACTTTCTTATCTATTTTAATATTGTTTTCATTTCATAATTTCTATTATTACATTAGTTTCCTATTGCAGAATTATTATATCATTAAATCCTTATTCATCATTATATTCATATTGTTCATATTGCTGTATTCATTTTATTAAAAGAATTGCAAAGTGTTATTAATGTATTATTCAAACTTATTCGGTAATGAATTATTTATTATTTTATTTTATTGTGTAATGTTGAGTTGATTTATTATATTTGTGTTATTTTATAAAATATGCGTAATTTCCACAACATGTCATCTCCACCGAACAAATAAAATTTAAACCTTCCTTTCTATCTTCCTTCCACATCTCTTCTTTCTTTCATACCGAACATAGCATTAGGGAAATTAACTATAATTATTTTCTTGTGAAAGTTGTAGTCGTTGGACATTATTTAGTTACTTAATTGACTAATTGATAGAGCATTCAAATCTCGACAAGTGAGGTCGTCAGCCAACACAACCAAATATAAGTAATTAAAAAAAAAAAAAAAGCCAAAACCTGGCTAGAATCTGCAGATGAGAGGAACAAGATCAATCAAATCTATATGATTTTCTAGTGTTAAATACTCGAGCAGGGTTTTATATATAAGGCCTGTTTGGTTAATATTTTTGCTTCATATTTTTTGCTTTTGCTAGCGTATTGTAGCGAAGCAAAAACACGAAACACGTTTAGTAATGTTTGTTGTCATTTAAATAGCACCAAAGCGCTTATAACATTAAGGCCAAAATCAAAAGCGTATAAATAATATTTTTATTTACTTTCGTACTGTAATAAAATACTGTTCAATATTTTTTTTTCTTTTTAAAATGACACCTCTAACTAGTCGTTCAATTTTTTCAAACTTGAAACACTTTTAACAAACATATTTTCATGTTTTTGTTTTCAAAAATCATACAATAAATTTACATTATTAAATAAGTTTTGAAATACTACTAAACAAACTTTAAAACAAAAATATTACTTTTATTTTGAATTAAAGTAAAAATAAGAAGCACAAGTAATTGCCCAAATTAAGAGCCCCGTAGTAAACAACTCCTAAATAAAAATCTTACCATAGTAGTGACATTGGTGTCAAAGTCAAGTCAACAACCTTATCACTAAAGACTACCTTATTCTCTTAGGGCTCAAGACTTTTTGTGCATGCCAACAAATAAAATTGATAACAATTAAGCAGAATGTGGACACAATTTCAAAGTCAAGTCAACAACTTCATCACTAAAGACTACCTTATTCTTAGGGCTCAAGACTTTTTGTACGTGCCAACAAATAAAATTTATAACAATTAAGCGGAGCCCACATGCATGTAAATTACATTAGAGCAAAGTAAAACTACTAAATGTTTGTTATCATTTGAACGATATTAAAGTGCTTTTAAAATTAATACCAAAATCGAGAACATAAAAATAATATTTTTATTTTTTTATAGAACGCTTTTAAAATTGAGACAAAAATCGAAAATATAAAAATAATACTTTTGTTTGTTTCCACACTGTGATAAAGTACTGTTCAAATTTATTTATTTATTTATTTTCTTTCTAAAATGACATTTTTAACTAGTCATTCAATTTTTTTCAAACTTGCAACACTTTTTACCAAACATGCTATCATGTTTTTTGCGTCCAAAAAATTTGCAACAAAACATTATCAAACAAGTTTTGAAATAATGTTGAACACACTTTAAAACAGAAACATTACTTTTGATTTGAATCAAAGCAAAAACACCAAATAAAGGTAATTGCCAAACAACTCCAAAATAAAAATCTACCTAGAGAAGTAAAATATGGAATAATTCCAAAGTCAAGTCAACAACCTTATCACTAAGTTCATGGACCTGGTAACGCCTTTTATATTCTTAGGGCTCAAGACTTTTTGTACATGCCAACAAATAAAATCAATACTAACAATTAAGCAGAGCCCATATGCATGTAAATTACACTAGCAATACTCCACATCTTTTCTGTTCTTCCCACTACTCTGTCTCCCGTTTCCTCGAGTAGGCTGTTCAGAGCTAGCAATGGACTTTGTGAGCCCAATAGTGGATGTTACATGCCGATTATGTGGTTGCATCGCAAACACTACCAACTATATTCATCATCTCCAACATAATCTCAACTCTTTGAGAATCGAAAAGGAAAAATTGATCGAGCGAAGAAACGATGTGAAGAGACAAGTTGAAAGTGCTGAGAGGCAACAAATGCAACGAACAGAACAAGTAGATGGCTGGCTTCGTAGAGTAAACCAGCTGGAGAGGGAAGTGGACCAGATTGGTGATGAAGAGATCCAGAGAAGATGTCTCAAGATTTGCCCCGGAAGTTGCTTGTCTAGACACAAGCTCGGGAAGAAAATATCTAAAAAGCTACGAGTTGTGGCTGGTCTGAACAGTGAAGGGGGTTTCAGCACAGTGGCTGTAACATTGGCCCCGCCACATGCCGAAGAAATTCCTCTGGACAGGACAGTGGGCTTGGATTCGAATTTTGACAAGGTCTTGAGGCTTCTTAGAGATGATGGTAATGGAGTGGGAACCATCGGGATATACGGAATGGCTGGAGTTGGAAAGACGACTCTATTGAAGAAACTCAACAATGAGCTTGCAACGCGGTTCAGTGGAGAGTTCGATGAGGTGATATGGGTTGTTATGTCCAGAGATGTAAATAGCGTCGAAAGCGTTCAAGATAAAATTGGGAAGAAGCTAGGATTTCCAGGCACGTGGCGGAGTAATAAAAGCCAAGATGAGAAGAAACAAGACATCTTTAGGTTCTTGCGGGGGAAGAAATTTGTGCTACTTCTGGATGACATATGGAAGCGGATTGATCTTCTCGAAGTGGGAGTTCCAGTACTTTCATACAAGGCCAAGGTAATATTCACCACCAGATCTGAGGAGGTGTGTGGTCTTATGGAAGCCAAGCAGAAGATTAAAGCGGAATGTTTGGTATGGGAACAAGCCTGGGATTTGTTTAAAGATAAGGTGGGAGAAGAAACCCTTAATTCTGACCCTGAAATAAGAAAGCTAGCACAAGATGTTTGCAAAGAATGCTCTGGTTTGCCACTGACATTGATTACAATTGGACGAGCCATGGCTAGCAAGAGAACCCCCCATGAATGGGATTATGCAGTAAATGTGTTGAAGAAATCAACATTCAAATTTTCAGGTATGGGAGAGCAAGTGTTTCCTCTTTTAAAATTTAGTTATGATAACTTATCTGATGAAACAACTAAGATTTGCTTCCTATATTGTGCTCTCTACCCAGAAGATTGGGATATCTACGTTCCCGATCTCATAAAATTGTTTATAGGTGAGGGGTTTTTGGATGATGAATGTGATAACATCAATGAGGCTTGTACAATGGCATATGAAATTATTGGTAGGTTGAAGTGTACATGCTTGTTGTTGGAGAGCAAAGAAAGTGATTCTTTTGTGAACATGCATGACATGATTCGGGACATGGCATTTTGGATAGTTTCAGAGAATGGAAGGAGGGAGATGAAATATTTTGTGCAAGGAAATCTTAATTTGACCAAAGCACCTCCTATTTCTAAATGGGAGATGGCTGAACGAGTATTTTTGTTGAGGAATTCCATTGAAGACTTAAGTGGAACTCCTAGATGTCCCAATCTCTTGACTTTAAATCTTAGTTGTTCCGATCACTTGTCTGGTTTTCTTACTAATAGTCGTCTAATAACCATTTCTGATAACTTCTTCCAGTTTATGCCGGTTCTCAAAGTTCTAGACCTGTCAGGAAATGAATATTTAACAAAGTTACGGTCAAGCTTTTTCAGGTTGTTTTCTTTACAACATCTTGATCTCTCATTGACAGGCATAACAGAGTTGCCAATTGAGTTTAAGTCGTTGGTAAAGTTGAAATATTTGTATATGAATGAAATGCATAAACTTGATAGGATCCCACCATAAGTCATATCAAGTCTTTCCATGTTGCAAAGAGTGGAGATGAAAGCTAGTGGTGTTTCAAGGGGATTTGATGAAGGTAGCATTTTTTATGGTGGCAATGAATTGTTATTGGATGAATTGGTAAGCTTGTATCACCTGCAATATTTAAGTTTGTCTGTAAAAACTGAACTGGCACTCCAAAAATTACTAAGTTCGCAGAAGTTAACGAAGTTGCACGTTTGGTTTAGGCATTGAACATTGCCAATGCTCACGTTCACTGCAACTGTCTTCTCTACAGAAAAATATTAAGAGACTCGAATTTTTAGAAATTAAATTTTGTTATGATTTAGAGTTGTTGTCAATGAGCTGGGATATGATAGATGGAAGCAGAAGCTTCCATAACCTCGGGATAATCTGGATCACACACTGCACGCTTTTGAGTGATCTAACATGGCTAATTTGCGCGCCAAACCTTCAAGAGTTGGGAATTTCTTACTGTTGTGCAATGGACCAAGTAATAAAAGATGATGATATTGGTAGGGAAGGAAGTTTGGGTGTGTTCGTGAGGCTACAAAAATTGTTTCTAGATGAACTGCCAAAGTTGAAGAGCATCTACAGCCATTCATTGTCCTTCCCCTCTCTAATCCACATTAAAGTGCATGACTGTCCGAGGCTTAAGAAACTTCCTTTTGACTGCAATAGCGGCAAAGACACTCTTCGAACAATTCAGTGTGGAAGAGGGTGGTGGGATAAGTTGGAGTGGGAAAATGAAGAAACTCAATCTGTTTTCTCTCCTCTTTTCAAAGAAGAATGGTGGTAATTGTGAGGAAGAGTTGCCTTATCTCAGTCACAGGTAAAAATCTCCATTATTAACTACTCGTTATTGTTTTTTCCCGAAAATTTTATAATATTATGGGGTACCGTACCCAATCTCTCAGACGTTGGATGTAATGGTAGGACCTACCTGATGGATAATCTAACGGCTAAGAGATCCCGGGGTACCTATAGAACTTCTTGTCCCTGTGAAGTAGTGTCATGCTTAATGCTAAGTCTCTTTTAATCTTTCTTTTCTCTTTTCAAAGAAGAATGGCGGTAATTTTGAGGAAGAGTTGCCTTATCTCAGTCATGAGAAGTCATCCAACAAACAGCTGGGAGACACAGAAGGGACGCTACTCCCATGTATTCTAGAATTTTCCTTCCGTCACAGGTAAAAATCTACATTATTAATTGCATTTTTTTTTTCATCATAACAAATTAGGAGAAGGGGGACTCAAACACGGACATACTTATTCGGAAAGCGTGCCCTACCAACTAGGAACTGGATAATGCCCTCCATTATTATTTGCTTGTTATTATTTTTTTTCATCTTTTCCCGTTGATCTGGTTTGTCCCTGTGAGGTAGTGTCATGCTTAATTCTAAGTCTCTTTTAATCTTTCTTTTGGGGAACAATGACACACAACATATATAATAATAATGTTGTTAACTTGTTATCAATAATGATAAAAATAATATCTACAGTTACTATTATAGTACTAGATACTTTATATATGTTTTGGAAAAAAAATATTCTATGCACATTTTTGTAACTTATAATATTTATATAAAATATACTTGATAAATCATTGTTTTCTAATCAAATTAAATTTAAATTGTTTCCCTTCTTCGATCAATTAAATAAACTTGGCTTTTCAACGACACATGTCAACAACAGTTATATAAATTATATAATCAATCTTAAATTAAACAACATCTTTTCTTGTTTTAATATTATTCTTAATAATTTAAACTTTACTCTTTGAATTTCATCTGATCTTTTATTTTATTAGCAACCAAACAATAAAACATATGAACGTACATGGCTTGTTAGTGAGTGCATAAAATAAGTATGGTATAGTATGCCCAGATTTGCATGTTAAGGTGTTTAATAATGATTTCGCTTTTTATTTTTTTGCAGTCTCTCGAAGCAGATATCTAAGTGGAAGTGGAAAGCAAAAAATGTCATTTATACCCCTGTTATACAAATAGTGATATTATTAGTTTTAACTTCTTTTTGTTCATTCTATCACGAATACCACCGATGTTGTAATTATTTTTTTGGCACATTATTGTCCAACTTAAAATAACAATTTTTGAATCATTAGAAACTAAGTGCATGCTTAAGATTGATTTACATAGTTTATTGCTTTTTGTGTGTGAGGGTGTTTGAGGAGATAATTTCATTTGGAATTGTGCTTTGTGTTTTCTTAGGGCTTTGGAAAATTGAATTGTTGGTAATTGAAAAGATCTTCGTACCACTTTGATCCATTAATATTTTGATATACAAAACAAAAAAAAAACTAATACATGACTCATTATGATAGAATAATGATACTTACAAATTTTGACCAAAACACTTCAATTCCAATGATTAAAAAAAAAAAATTATAATATGATAAGATAAGATCTAAAGTCTTATATATTTTTTATATCTTTGTTTTTAGATTTTCTAAACATCTTTTAAAATTATTTTATTATAAATTCTATTGTATTTTAACTAACAAAATATATGTTAAGAAGTCTTTTAGAATTAAATTACTAATGGTTAATTGATTTATGTTATAATATAATAGAATAAGATGAGTAATAGCTAGGTATTCCAATCTTATTATCTAGTTTATATGACTACAAGAGAGAGGGAGTAGTTTGTGATGGAGAGACCGAAAGGAAAAAAAATTTATGAGAGAGTGAGACGTTTAAAGCTCGAATGATTTATTCTTTTGACTCTTTTTGTGAATAAAATTTAGGGTAAAGTACAATGACACCTTATGAGGTTTAAGTTTGGTATAAAGACAGTCTAAGTTGGTTAATTTTGGACAATGACACTCCCTCAAATTTGAAAATTTTGACAAAGGCACCCCGAAATGGATGAATTGACTTTATTACCCTTTGATATAAAATTGACAAATACAATCATTTTTTATTGACTTAAATACCCTTGGATTAAATAAGTTTAAATGGGTTATTGGGTACAATGCATTTGAAAGCCCCAAAATTTCTCTCTCCTCACTCTCTTCTCCTCTTTCCCCTCTCAAACTCTAACCCAAACAAGCCTAACAGAGTGAAAGGAAAAATCGAAGCTCATATACGTAAGATATCGAAGGGAGAGCCTAATAATTGGAAAAATTAAAAGGAATAAGCTCGATAACAAAGCTTTTCCTCCTCCACCCCCTCCCTCTCTCTCTCTCTCTCTCTATATATATATATATATATCTAGACACGTGAGCATACACACATATATATCACCACCACCACCAATCACCCCCACTACATATATCGCCACCGCAGCATCATCATCATCATACCTCAACCTCCACAACCACCACCCCATCATCATCATCAAATGAACCACGATGATGAGCAAGGAAGATGGAACTGCCAAAAATGGACCGGCGAGCTCGCAACGGAACCAAAGTTCTTCAACTTCAACAAATCGATTTAAAATTTTGTCAATGGTGAAGAACTTGCAATGAAGACAATGAAGAACAGACCGGAGCAAACTATCAACGACAAAGAGAGACCTAGTTTGGTGAGCTTACCCAACGCCGGAGTACACAAGTCTTGTAAAAGTACCACGCGTTGGGGTTAACGGCGGTGGTGAGTGCTCTCACCGCTCGGTTCATTCTCTCGACGTCAATGGAGCCCTATCTTGATCTAACCCACGACGGCGATCAAAATTGGAGCCCGATCTTGATCTAAACCACGACGACAATCAAAATTGGAGCCTGATGTTAATCTAACCCACGACGATGGCGATGTGAGATGGTGGCTTCAAGACGACAACGGATTCTTCACGACGAAGTGGGAGCCGCAACAGAGCCCCCCAAAAAATGGAGGCTGATCAAATTTGCACACACGGATCGACCACAACAGAGCCCCACAGTGAGCGAAACATCGATTGCCGTTGAAGATGACTTTAGGGACACCGATGGTGTCGACAGTGTCAGGGACCCATCAGTGGAACGTGTCGGTGACGAAACAGTCGAGGCGGCAGTTGAGGAGAAGCTGCTTGAGGGGTTCTTGGAGGATGAAGGTGCCAGTGAAGGGAGGAACCGACATGTGAACGGAGGAGATGGTAAGCTGCTCGTCGAGTGGTGGTTAGAAGGTGTGAAGGTGGATGTCGTGGGTGGAACTTTGGGGTCTGGGTGTGATATATTGTTTTAGGGTTTACAATATACATAAACATATAGATATATACATATGCATATAAATATAAATATAATATATATTTATATATATAGAGGTGTAATGAGTTTATAAGGGTAAAAGCATCATTTAAGAGTTTTGATATTTTATAATTTAAATTAATAAAATATTAAAAGGCAATCTTGACTTTTTACAAAATTTAAGGGGGTGTTTGGATTCAATTTCTGATAAGGGGGTGTCATTGTTCAAAAATAGGTCAACTTGTATGTGGTTGTCCTTATGCCAAACTTTAGGAGGTGTCGTTGTACTTTACCCTAAAATCTATAATTATTGTTTAATTTGAATGTGATACATTCTTAGAAAACCTCGCTGTGCATGCATTATTATTTTTTCAATGGTTTTAGAAAAATATTTGTCTCTCTCTCTCTCTAGGCGTATTTGGGTATTTTTCAAAATTTATTATTATATATTGATTTTTTCAGGTGTTAAAGCGGTTCTTAAGTCTCCAGTTGTAACTAGGGCTGCAACTTGGGCGGGCTAACCCAGCCCAACCCAAGCCCAACCCGAGAATTTGAAATTTGGACTTTAAGTTTACAAATCGGGTTCATGTTCGGGTTGAGTTTTGTCAAAACCCAGACATATTCGGGTTGGGCTCGGGTTCAACCCGAACCCAACCCAAAACCAAAAAATAAAAAAAATAAATATATTTTTTTTTCTTTTTTTTCCTCCATTCTCTCTCTCCCCTCTCTCTCTCTCTCTCTCTCTCTCTCTCCTTTCTCTCCCTCTTTCTCTTTCTCTGTTTACCGTCCCAATCCATTCAAGGTAACAGTTGCAGAGAGAGACAGTGGTTGAAGCTTGCGAACGGCGAACGACGAACGGCGAACTGGAACAGCGAGCGATGAAAACTGAAAGATCTGGGTTTTGATTTTTTGAACGATCTGAAATGGTTGAGAGTTGAGAGACAGTGGTTGAAGCTTTGCCGACGGCGAACGGCGAACCCGATTTGGAACAGTGGGCGATGGAAACTGAAAGATCTGGTTTTTTATTTTTTGAACAATCTGAAATGATATGCCAATATGGGTTTTGAACTTTTGATTGTTACAGATAGATGAAAATGAAATATATGAGCTTTGAAGTTTTTGTAGTTTGCAGTTGTTGCAGAGAAAGAGAGAGAGAGAGAGAGAGAGAGGGGGGGGGGAGGCAAGTTCAGAGAGAGGCAACAGAGGCGATTGGGGAAGGCTAAAATGATTTGCTTTAAATAAAATATATATATATATATATAATTTGTTTTTAATATATATATATATATTAAATAATATATATATATATATAAATTTCCAAAAACAAAAAAAAAAAAATTTATAAAAAGTTTTCAACCCGTCAACCCGACCCAACCGTCCAAAAATATTCGGGTTGGGTTATAATCATAACCCATGTTGAATATAATTCGGGTTGGCCCAACCCAACCCGATTCGGGTTGAGGTTGGGTTGGGACTGGGCTGGGTTGGGCCAACCTAACTTACAGCCTTAGTTGTAACAGGTAGACGCTTACCCGATGACCCTAAAACTTAAGTTATTGGGTAATGCTGCATACTCACTCATTTATATCCATTTTAATTTCCTATTCAGATCTGGTGTGGGATACCTCTAACACAAGTTGTAATAAGGGGGAACTTGTCCCACATCGGATTCGGATGGAAAAGTGAATGGGTATATATGGGTTTGGTGTTAATCCTATCTAATAATTTAAGTTTTTGAATAAATGGGCAAGCATCCACCCGCAACAGTCAGTATCAAAGGCAGACTTAGTACTTGATCCGGTATCACGCCAAGCGCCTGACCCGAACGGCGTCCGGGTCTGCACCCCGGGTCAACAGGGAAACCCGAACCACAACGAGGGCGCTATGAGTTCGGGTGGGGGAGAATGTAACAAGGGGGAGCTTGTCCCACATCGGATCCGGATGAAAAAAAGTGAATGAGTGGTATATATAAATTATGTGTTAATCCCACCTAATAGTTTAAGTTTTTGAGTAAATGGATAATCATCCACTTGTAACACAAGTCCACTTGAAATTGTGTGGAAGTCATTTAGCTTTGTATGGGTCCAACAAATTGAAAATAAGGCACAAGGTCTCTTTTTTCCCTGGATGTGGCTGTATGGGAGAAAATTACAATTTTAGCCCCATCATATTTTGTATGCAACTCTTAAACCAAATACAGGAAAAATAAATAAATAAATTACAAAAAAACCTTTAAGACATATCACTATTGAGCCTGGTTTATATTTTTAAACATATATTTAAATTTTTATATAAAAGTATTGCTTATCAGAAATGAGTTGGAAGTTATGTTTTTTTTTTTACTGTTTGATTTTTGAAAATTAAGTAAGGTAGTTTCCTTCATTTGGGAAATATCTTATTTCAGCTACTTTGTTAATTGTAATGTTTTGGAATTAATTTTTCAAATCTGTGTGATGCGTCGATGACTTCTTTAAGGTCCGAGACTCCAAGGGCATCATCACCACTTCATAATGCAGTAGCGCCTAGTACTAATAGGTATCTCTCTGCTAGATATTTGTTTTTGCTCCTAATTTCAATTATTCAAGGAAAATAATATTTAGGCCTACTAATTAGGAGTATTTGTGAAAGTAAAACAATTATGACTTACCTTTAGGCCCCATTTCAGGCCATTAGTGGTCTTTATTGTTTCAATTTGATAGATAAGCCTAATTACTGGACCTAAATATTATGAATCTTTATTCAATTAAATGAACTGTTTTGGTTTAGATTTGCTATTGAAGACGTATCCATTTTGGGTATACATATATATCGCATAACAATTTTTTTTTTCACTATATCACATAACAATTACTTAACTATTTATTAACATGTTAATAATTTTAAAAAGAAACGCAACAAATAATTATAAATTTTGCTTAAAGAATATAAGAGTTGTTAGAACATTAATTTTATTTGCTTATTATTACTCTCATAGCTTAATAAGATTATAATTTCATTTTTCCCCGTCGTGTCCTTCTACTAGTACTTTATATAGGAGAATGGATTGAAGTTGTAAATGTTTAATTTTCTAATTTCTAAAATTTGAGACAAAGTATTGAAAGCTGTGCGAAATTAGTGTGAGTAAAGTAATAAAAAAATTAAATTAAGTAAAAGAGTAGTAAATTAAAAGAAAAACATCCGTCAAGATTTTATAATTATATAAGATTTGGCAGTCAAAAGAAAGGAAAAATAAAAATAAAAAAATCGCAAAACAAGGAATCACAATATACAAATAGAAAAGGAACATACTCTTCATCGGCGACCTGATTCTTCAGCGTCTTGACGAAAAATCGAAAGGACAAAAAAACCATATCTTCTAACGGCGACGAGAAGATTTCCGGTGCCATTCTTATCAACTTTTCTGATCTACACCAGAGAGGAGCGCACGAGGAAAGCTTCTGAGTCTTAAGAATTTTTTGCTAGATCCCTCTCCAAACGGGCATTTTTTATTGGGGACAATTCTTCACAAACCGGCCGGTTCAATTGTAAAATTTTTATTGAAACCGACCGTCTCGGCGAACTAGTTATATACGGAGTATGAAGCAATATTCGGTACTCATCATCTATTTTCATTATTTAAGGTATAATAGGATCCAAAGCATGTGTCAAGTATAAGAGCGATTTGTGCCTTGTGGAACGCAAGCGAATTCGAAAAAAAAACAGCCGGCAGAATTAACTGATAGTGGAAATTTGAGTCAAAGACATAAGAGCGGTAACTGACTGACGTTTGTTGAATCAAAATCGATTCTGAGAACGACAGGTAAGAGCATCTCCAATTGTAAAATATTAAATTTTGATGTCAAATCTATATTTTGATAGTTTTATAACGTCAAAATGTTATATTTTAACAATTTTACTTTAATGATGCATTTTATATAAATTCATATTTGATGTTAATATTAGGCACACTCCAAGTCAAGTTGTAAACATTAAAAGGAAATTAAAATTAAACTTAATTAAAAAAAATCAAAAATCAAAAATATCTTATCAAAAAATATTCAAAAATACACACACATATATATGTGTATAAATTTATATATTTGATTATATTATTATATTTTTTTTTCTTTTTCAGAAATTTATATATATGTATATTATATATATTTGATTATATTATTATTAAAAATATATATAATTTTAGGGCAAATCATTTTAGCCTCCCCATTCGACCATATATATTTTTAGGGCAAATCATTTCAGTCTCCCCAATCGCCTCTTTCTCCATTCTCGTTCTCAACTCTGAAATTGCCCCGTGTCTCTCTCTGTGCAATTGCAAACTACAAAATCAATAAGAATGAGAAGTTCAAAACCCATATAATTAGGCCAAGTTTCAGGAGGTTGGTTTTGTCAAAATAGAGATTCAAATCGATGAAGGGTACGAGGTCATGACGATTGACAGTGAGCAAAGGGTTGTCAGTTGGACCATAAAGAGTGCGGTTCATGATCGATGGCGAAGACAAGGACCTTGGACCAAGTGGGGCCTGATTTGGGGACAGTGACTATGATCAGATCAGTGTCGCGTGCTTGGAAGTGTTATTGGAAGGAGATCACGCTAACTTGTACATATGGGTTTTGTTTTAATTTTTTTTTTTTCTAAATCAACTAATCAAATTGTTTTGCAATCCTATTTGGTGAAATTTTTTATGATCTTTTATATATATATATATATATATGAATCCATATCGGCATATCATTTCATATTGTTCAAAAAATCAAAACCCATATCTTTCAGTTTCCATCGCCCCGTCTTTCTCTCTCTGTCTGCTGTTCTCTTTTTCTGAAACAGCAATAGTCATTTCTTGTTCCGTAATTGGCATAAGTTTTGACAAAGTTGAAATTTGGCGGCCATATAACATTGCATTGGAGAACTCATTTTTACCATCTTCTGTTATATTATAGAAAATCTTCTGCTATATTATTGAAATAGCAGTCAATGTAGCATTGGATTGGAGATGATCTAATTATTTGGAAAATAAGAGGATGACTTATAAAATTATCATTTTCGCCCTTATAAATTAATTTATTACAAAAATGCCCTTAGGTGTTTGTATCCAATAAAAGCCCCGATGGAATTGGAGAATTTCCGCCGCCTTGTCTCTCTGGTCTCTGCTCTGAGCCTCTCTCCCATCTGGCAATCTCTCACGTCTCTGTCTTCTCTCTCTGCTTCATCGACTTCATAGACCGAGACGCCATTTTCGGGAACTCACTATTTGCTGCCTCGCATCTCTAACGGATTGGCACTGTCACTCTTTGTTTCAGCAGCAGCAAGTTTAGGTTTTTAGTAAGTATGGTCTGATAACCTTTTGAATTTTTTTTTTTTTTTTCATTTGCTTTTTTATTTTTATTTTTTATTGTTTTCGGTATTTTTTATTTCCTGTACTTGCATAGTTGCATGTTAGAGGTTGGATGGGAAAACATTTGTCAACTGGGTTTTAGTATTGTTGCTGCAAATTGCTCTGTTTGGTTTTCTAGAGCTTGATTTTTAAAATATTTTCTAGATTGGGTTCGATTTGTTTTTGGATTATTGTTGGTCTTTGGTGTAGGTGCATGGGATTACTTACTTGGTTGAGTTTGTTTTGATATTTTGGTTTCTGATTTTCCAAATAATGTGTTGATTTTTCCTCTTTAGAGAAACTTCTTTTAGTATTTCGGTGGTAACTGTTTGCACGGTTTACTGTTCTTTTTAATTTCCAAAAAATAGGAATTTAAGAAAATTTTAAAATTACTCAGCATTATGTGATGTTATAATGGCAAAAAATGCCCCTTAATATAAATTTAAGAAAATTTAGGTTTTCCTTAAAATGCTTTTCATTTTAGATTTTCTTTTCCTTTTTAATTTTTAAAAAATAGAAATTTAAGAAAATTGTTCCAACCTATTTTCATTTTCTTATAGACGCATCTAATATATATATTTTATTTTTTATACAAATATAATTCATTTAAATATTTTTTAATAACACTAATTTTAATCTTATCATTGAAAAATAGTTCTAAAAAAAATGGCATAGTTTTGTGCATCGGTATGAAAGTCCTTTGCAAATTCCAATTATATACATTTTTTTCCTTAATATATATATTTTTGATAAGTTATTTTTGTTCATCTTTTTATTTGAATTATTTCTTGATATTAATTCATATTGAGTATTTTGTTTTTTTGGGGTCTACTCCTATTAACATGTAGCATTGCAGGAAAACTATATCAACGACTGTTCAAGTTTGGAGGGGTTTAAATATAAACTTGTCAGGGTAACGTGGTCTCCCTAGTTTCTCCCAAAAATGTCTCTGCTTAGTTCCTCCACAGTATTATTCCAAAACAATACCAATAAGAGGTATCACTATCCACCCCCTGTTTGATTGCTGCTTAAAAGAAAAATAGTTATGAGAATCTTGGAATTTTAGGTATCCTTTTCATTTTTACCAATATTCATTTTATTACATTTGTTTTATTAATGCAGTATTCAGATTGTTTTCAAACCCGTGAAATACAATGGGGTTGTTTTCCATCCAGTGAAACACAATGGAATTGTTTTCCATCCGGTGAAACACAATGGGATTTGTAGATGCGTTTCAACTCCTCCAGCCGAAATGATTGGTACTTTTTATCTGCATCATAATTTGAACATTTTCCAGTTTAATTGCTGAGAAAATAGAGGAAAAGATTCGGAGTTTTCGTTTCTCTTAAGCGATGGATGAGTTTATTAGAGTGTAGTGGTTACTACTAGGTTATTGAAAAATTGTATTAGTGATTTGTATTATTATATATATGTTGTGTGAATATTTTATAGTCATCTATTTATTTGAAAACTGGAAGCAAAACGAGTGGAATAAGAAGATATTATGAAGCATTGACTTGGCATTTAAAGGGACTTGCCTAGGAAAGCAATACTTGTAAGAAACATGTATTTTTTTGTTATTGGACTCAACAAGCTGACAACGTTTACTGCGACTTTGTGAAGATTACAAGACAAAGGTCTCTCGTAACTCAAACATGGCTAAACTTCAAGCTGGCTACCTTTTCCCAGAGGTTTGTTTACGGAGCTTGCTATATTTTTGTTATGATGCAATGTGCTTCCGTCAATATTGAAAACATCATTCACACTACTAGCATTTTGTATTGTAGTGGAATTTACTTCACGTAGTTGAATTCGTGTTCTAAAATTTGTTTTCTGTATGCCTTCCCTGAAAACTTGCAACAAGACCTACCTGTATTAACCTGAGGCTTAGATCTCTATAAATTTGTCAAAATTATCCTTTGTATGTGGAAGCAAAAGTTTTGTAAGTAAATGGGTAAAGTTAGCTTATCAATTAACTAATAGGATAACACCAAGTCTAGTGGGAAAAAATAAGGTGGTGTGCTTATAAGTTATAACATCTATGCTGCAAAACAGAAAATTTGCCTTACCTATTGAGGGGAAAAAAAGGATTAGTATTGAACGGTTCATTGCATCACGGCCATTTCGAAGATGACTAAGAATTAGAAAAATGTAGAAAATTTTATGCAACATCTGCAATTCTGCTTTGAGATTGGTCAGTTTGTTCATGTATGTAAACTAATTGTTATAGCCAATAGATTCTGCTTTAAATCAAGATTTATTAAGTGATTAATGTTTGTCTCTCTTCACTGTTTGTATAAGCATGAATGTTGACAAATTTTCTCTTTGGGAAATTAGGTTGCTAGAAGAAGGAATGCACACTTGTTGAAGAACCCTGATGCACAAATTATAAGCCTTGGTATTGGTGATACTACTGAGCCTATCCCAGAAGTTATAACTTCTGCAATGGCGAAGGTACTTCCTTTACTATATTGATTGAAATGTCTTCTATTTCTTTTAAAACAATTTATATTTTTAAATGTCATAAATGGCATAAATTTTGTGGATTATGGCATTATTTTGACTGACATTTGTTGGAGAATATTAGAGGCTAAAATCACTCCTATGATATTCATATTCAAGATATTCAATTGTTTGTATTACTTTTTATTTTGATTTTTGGTAATTATGATTTATATTTGAATTTTTTTTAATTCTTTGTTCAATCTATGCATTGATGATTTAGTTGTTTTTCCTGTTTCACTTAAAAATTAATTTATTGACTAAATAAATTCTGCCAAAAGATTAACAGAAATTTTAAATAGAAAGAAGAAAAGGTTGATATTAGATGCATTGTCTTTCTAGCTAATTGTGACCCTTTAAGAGTACAGGTTGTGTTCTGTAGCCTACACAACAAACCTAAACACAGGAATTTATTTTCCATTGACACATACTGTGGACATGTTTATTTGAATATATCTCATGAAAGCTATTTTTTGATAATTTATATTTCAATTGGTTTAGTAAATTGTGTTGCTCTACTAGTTTCTTACTTGTTTAACTTTTCTCAGAGAGCAAATGAGCTATCGACTATAGAAGGTTACAGCGGTTATGGAGCTGAACAAGGTGAAAAAGTAGGTGATGTTCTTTATTTGCTACTGACTGCTTACATGTTTGTAGTCTCAAATAATAATGATTTCTACAATGACATAGAGTTGCACGTTTTCATCTCCCCCTCTTTGTATTTATATATACATACATACAGTAATCAAGAAATGATCTAATAATGTTTTTTTCTAAGACTGTATCTTGTCATACATTATTCAATATATGTTCTAATCATTGTTATCTATAGAACTGTGCCATACAATACATTATTCAATGTGTAATATATTGTAGGTCATATGTACTGCATATTATTTTTTGATCGGTGATATGAATTATATGATACATCAGATAGTACTTTAACCTGTAGGTATGATGCTTACAATATGTGCAAAGTGCTTAATTTTGGCCTTTTTATTTATAAAAGAAAGTGATTCCTTTGTATATTTGGCCCTAGCGAGGTTTAAAGGGGAGGTGCAAGGTCTCCATTGTGCTTTCAAGGTACTTAAACGTTAAGAAAAAAATGTTTATTTAACCTTTCCCCCCTTTTTCTTGCCACTTTTGTTTTTTTTCTCGGGTAAGTAAATATTTTATTGTAAAAACTCAAATAATTTAAAGAGATATCGTAGTAAACTGCAAGTGCAACTGAAGCCCACTGTCAAATGATATCCCTCAAAAAGCATAATTTTTTTTGATAAGTAAAAGCATAATAACATATAAAAAGTCCTTGCAATTCGATATGATAGGGAAAAAAAAAAAAACCAAAAAAAGCATGCCACTCTTAGCTAAAAATGCCCTAGGGCAAAAGCAAACCCAAAAAAGATGGGGTTAATTGAGGGTTAAACCCTAATTTTTGAGCATTGGTTGTCGTGCAAAAGGTAGGAAATTATGCGTTGCGACTGAGTGATCTTCACACCTGACACGTGTTTCCTTCTCAATGCCCACAGCAAACTAAAACAAAAGAGACTGCCTGCTTTTGTTTTTATTATTTTGAGTTTTCAATTTTTATTATTTATCTATAAACATTCCTATTTACTCCCTTATTGTGCTCTATGTCTTACATTTAGTTGCTCTGTACTATTTATAATAGTTAAGTTTGTATGCATGTGGAATGATGAATGTCATATATATTAGCACTTTGCATTGTGCAATACTACGCCTCTAAATTGTGTATCATTGTCTTGTCCAATATATCTTAAATTTCATATATTATTACATACAAACTCACTTTCTATAACTTTGTTGTTATCTTCATATTGTTGGAACTTCTGCATGATGGTTAACCCTGATATTTTCTTGCTTGCCTATTATATTAGCTGGCGTGTATGAAGTATAGTATTGTTTTTTATTCAATTGTATGGGTTTCTTTATGAGAATTGTCATTAATTTTTTTTTTTTTTTTTTTTTTTTTTTTATATTCCCCATTCAATTATAAAATTAGTTTTTAAATATAAGTTTCAACATTTATAACAATAAATTAGTTTCAGAGGGATCTAATGGTGTCATATATTAAATGAAATTGAAACACCATTATGGTAAATGAGTTGATCATTTTGGATCTCATTTTTCAAAAAAATTCAGGATTTATGCACATAAAGGCTCACTAGAATTTATGTGTTGGCTATTTAGCTTCCTTTCCTGGGACTAGGACTGTGATGATCAAACATAAGAATATATATAAATTTAGGCTGTACAGAATTGCTACAGCTTAGTAAAATTTTAATAATTTCATTCTAAACATTTTTTTTTTTTTTTTTTTCATAATTATTTCATTCTAAACATGTCTTGTCAAATAAGTTTCCCACTTTGCCTTGTCTATGTGAAACCTTGAGATTACTGAAGTAACAGAAATTGTTGATGTGTTCAGCTTTTGAGAGCTGCTATTGCTTCCACCTTTTACTCAAATCTTGACATAGAGGATGATGATATATTCGTCTCTGATGGCGCAAAATGTGACATATCCCGCCTTCAGGTTTGATTTGGTTTCTCATATGTTTTTAAATTCTCACTTAGTCTCCACCTTTTTGTTTGTTTGTTTCTTATGTTAATCACACTAGGTGCATTCCTTGGTCACTTGATGTCTCTTATATGAAACTTATGAGTACCTTAGTTCATTACCCTTGCATAGTAATTGATGCTATCGGGGTTACCTGACTTTTGTTCTTCCTTTATGGCAGGTCCTTTTCGGGTCTGGTGTTACAATGGCGGTACAAGACCCTTCATATCCGGTAGGTATTTCATGCTTTTGCAATCTAAACAATAATAGAAAATTGTATTGTTAGTAGTTTTATCTTTTTTGTATCCTTGTTCTTGTTCTTTACCACTTCTCGACTTACAAGTTTGAGCTGCTCTCATCATCTTTTGTTAGGCTGTTCTCTTCAGTTTTGTTTTACATCTCTGTTTAGGAAATCAAAACTGGTTCCTTGATTTAATTATTAAGTGTTGAAGCTCATTATTATTTGCAACACATGGAACAATTCACAGCATGTTTTAACTTCTTGTTAAATTTCATAGAACTTGTAACTATTGGATTCAATATTTAAGGCACATGATGAGTATTCTGTTCATCCCTTGTTATTTTCTCCTTTCCTCTTGGCAGTATTGCATGTAGGTACAGTAATTTTAGTGGTTTCACTTGGAAATTTTTAGTTTGGTTAAAAAGTCGATACAATGATTTGTTCAAATAATTTAATTTCTGGCCTCAGAAAAAGGTTCCTACATCTGATGGTGGGTTCACCTAATTGGCTGATTTTGGGTTTTAAAACCTACTTGGTGTACCATGTTTGATGGTGTTACAACTGATTTCCTTACTGATTTGATAACTGACATGTATGTCGGAGAGTATGGTTATTCAAGCAGAAAGTTTGAACACATTACATGGTGTCAACTACTTGCGGGTGTGACGAAACAACTTCTTATTTGGGCTTGTTTATCAGGCGTGACCTTCTACATGCATTTTATGTTGGATGGGGTGATTTTGTACACACCAAATTTCATAAAACTGTTCCTCATCAACTAGTTAGAAATTTAGAACAAGGTGGTTAAAAAAAAACCTGAATAAATGAAAGAAAGACGGGGAAAATGAAGAAACTACTCACTCTGCAAAGCTTGGCCTTCTTTTGTTACTCCAATTAAATTGTCTATAATGTTGTTGGTTCTTTGTTTTATATGACAGGCCTATGTAGATTCAAGTGTGATCATGGGTCAGACTGGCCTGTTCCAGAAGGATGTCGAGAAGTATGGAAAAATTGAATACATGAAATGTACTCCAGAGAATGGTTTCTTTCCCGATTTATCCGCCGTATCTCGAACAGATATCATTTTTTTCTGTTCACCTAATAATCCAACTGGTTCTGCTGCATCAAGAAAGCAACTTACTCAGTTGGTTCAGTTTGCTAAGGATAATGGTTCAATTATAATTTATGATTCCGCGTATGCCATGTACATGTCAGATGACAAACCACAGTCCATCTTTGAAATTCCTGGAGCCAAAGAGGTAGTTAAAATAATGGTTTTTTCTCTTCCTAACAGGTGTTGGTTTCTGTTCTTTATTCCTGCTATATTTACTTGTTAGTTTTCACCCCCTTGACCGAAGAGGTAGTTTGAAAATAATGGTATTTTAGCTTCCTAACAAGTTTTGGTTTCTGTTCTTTATTCCTGCTCTCTTGATAATTTTCACCCCCTTGATTGATGATGAGAACTACAACCTTCCCTTCAGTGCAGCTGGGTGGAATCATGCCATATTCATTCTAACCATTTTTTTTTCCTAATTTTCTGATTTCCTTTTTGGATATTGACCACTTTTTTTTTTTTGCAAAAGCTTAAGCAGTTAGAGAGTGTGTAACTTAAGTACTCTAGCATGACCCCTCACATGTGGTTGGGTTTCGGTCCTGCACGTGTATCAATTACAATAATGTGGCTGACAGTGAGGTACTCAGGACCTTGCCTGCATTGATACCCAGTTAACCACCGTCTTGTCTAAATGCTTAAGCTGTTAGAGAGTTTGTAACTTAACTATTTAATTCCTCTAACAGGAATCTTTATGGTAAAGACACTTTATTTTATGGATAATTTGCTGCTTTATCAGGCCATGAGAATCTCTTATTTCATCTCAATTGCAGAATTGTGTATACCTTGATATAAAATGTTTATAGGTTGTGGTCCGGTGACTTCAGTTGATCTAATGGAATTATTTCATCCCTTTTTTGGTATTTTAAACTTATGGGTGCATTTTGCTTAACTTTTTGTTCTCCCCATTTGTTGATGCCTTCTGCAATGTGTCATCTTTGTTTTGTTAAATTTTCAATTCTGTAAGTATGAATATAGGTTTCGTTTCCAGGGTTTTTTGTGTAATAAATGTGGTACCAAACCTGCACAAGAAAGCTATGCTTGCAAAAAATGCCTTTATGCTGAAATCATGTTCCATCTTTTTATCTGCTTCCGGTACCATGAGTAATATGGCCATTGTCAGTATGAAATTTGGTTTGTTGGAGACAAGTAGTCTTGTGAAAAATCTACAATTATGATACTCCTTTTTTATTTTAGCCCTTCCTGGACAAAGTTTCAGAATTTCTCTCGTCAAATAGATAGCATTAAATGTGATAATATGATCTAAATTTAGTAGAACTTCTGGTCTAGTGTATCTGTCGAGTCTATGGTTGGAATGGGCATATTGTATGCTACATCTAGGGGATTTCGACTTCATATCTTTAATTCTCCTTTAGGGAGAATTACTCCTGTTATATCTAATATAAATTTAAAGTTGATCTGTGGAAATTGCAGGTTGCAATTGAGACTTCGTCATTTTCCAAGTACGCCGGTTTCACTGGAGTTCGTCTGGGTTGGACTGCAATTCCAAAACAGCTTCTCTTTTCAGATGGGTTTCCTGTTGCCAAAGATTTCAACCGCATTGTTTGTACTAGCTTCAATGGTGCATCCAACATTGCCCAAGCTGGTGCTCTTGCATGCCTTTCGCCAGAAGGTCTCAAGGTCAGTTCAGTGGTTTCAGGTTCTTGATTTATTTCCAAGATGGAGGGACAAAATAAATCCCATCCTTCAAATGGTTTTTATAAAATCCCAAATTTCATTTTGTTTTTCTCATTTTCTTGGCAACTAGATTGAAGCATTGTGTTACATATTTGAGCTCCTATGATCCATCGATTTTGCTCTGTGCAGGCTATGAATGAGGTGATTGGCTTCTATAAAGAGAACACTAATATTATAATGGAGACTTTTAATTCACTCGGCTTTAATGTCTATGGAGGGAGAGATGCACCTTATGTGTGGGTCCACTTTCCTGGTCGGAGTTCATGGGATGTATTCGGTGAAATTCTTGAGAAGACCCATGTTGTTACAACTCCCGGCAGTGGTTTCGGACCTGGTGGTGAAGGTTTCATTAGGGTTAGCGCCTTCGGACACAGGGACAATGTGTTAGAGGCCTGTAGAAGATTCAAGCAGTTGTACAAGTGAGATGATGATTTCACTTGCCTCAGCCATATCTGGCTTTCTTTGATTGTAGGATCTTGGCATTAGGTTCCCTAGATATTTATCCTTCTGCATTCTTCTTCTTGTTCTATTTTCATGTATGTTTAAAACATTCTAGCAGTGAGAGTAATAATAATAGAAAGCCAGATTTTATCAGATTTATATATTCCGTAATAAATTGATGTGTGTAGTTTTTCACTTTTATTTAACAAAACTCATGTTATGAATTTTGCCACTAATTAGAATGAAAAGGCATAGTAATGGCAACTATTATAAAGCCTATAACAGTAAGAAATCCTTTATGGACCAATGGGCATTACTCTACTGTGTGTTCGAGCCATATTAGGGGTAATGTATTGTGGGTGTGTTTGCGCTTTAATTTTTAATTTTTTTGTTTTAGGGTTCTAGAAAGTAAAGCCATTAAAACTTTATGGTCCATTCTTGACATTCAGATTCTGGGGGGGATAGTGTCCATTACACTTTGTATGGAGACTTGAACCCTCACCTCTCACTCGGGAGGAGATACTTCTAAACTACAACTCTTGGTTGTTGGTTGAATGACCTTAACCTGATTTGGTTCGGTTGAATTTATACGCTGATGAGTTTGTGGTCTCAAATAGCTCTGTTTTACATCTCATTCAATACTCTGGAGATTGCTTTTGATCTGGATGATGTGGTAAATTGATGGTGGTTCGTACTTTATGATGCTTGCGGGTTATTTGGCTTGCCCTTGTGTAATGCTGCCCGTGGAAAGTAAAGTTTGACCGCAGTTGCTGGAGCTCTCAATACCTCAGCATTGATCTTGATTGAATGTTTTTGGACAAAACTTGCCTACTCACTCGTGAGTAGGTCATCTCTATTGTCCGCTCATGTGGTCCAATCACAAATGCACAAATAGTCTGTAATTTCAAAATCTGAAAAATAATAAATAAGAAAATCTTCTGTCCAAGGGGCAGCATTCCTTTGCACGGTTTTAATACAATAAAACAAAAAACATCCCGACCTTAATTATTAAAGATTAATCAACGTTGCGTAAGTCTCTGCTTGCTGAATCTGGAAAAAAAAAAAGTTGGTTTCTGAAGAATTGTTTTAGCTGGCCAGATCTTATACAGAGAATCATAACTATTATATAAATGCAGTGATCTGTAAACAATTTAATGAATTGCAAGTAAATTTGCAACATTCATACCTACAGTTCATATGATTTTTCTTCACTTGGTTTGTTAACTGAGAAGGCAATAGGAGTATAGGACACATTGATTAACAAGGTTGATATAGTTAATATATATATTTCAGCTTTACATTTCTCCATACAATCAACAACCGAGCAACATATTAAACCCTTCATGGCTATCGAAAAATTCCACCCCATCTTTGGGAGGTGTTTTCCACATTTATATCAAACCTGGTCCCATTTATATTCTCAAAAAATAAAAACAAAAAATGTATATAAATAAAATAAAATAAAATAAATCAACCTGCATCATACACAGCCTCTTCTACAACTAAGCATGCACAAGAAATAGTGACCAGACCATTATTTCAAAGAAAATATTGAGAAATATTTAATATGAATTGAATCTTGACAATTTTCCGCTACGAAACCATTGAGACAAACAGAAATGAACAGAAAAAGTAAGAAAAACTACATCAAACTGATAATAATAACATACTACTTATGTTGGTTTCCAGATTTCTAGTCCTTCGAACAGAGGGCAATGAAATGAAATACACACAACTGGGGCGTGGCGAAAACCCTGAAGCCTGAACCCAACCTTAACTCGAATTAGAGAAATCGGCGTCTACCCTACCCCATTTAATCCCTACTCGAACACAAAAGTAGGAGGGGGATGGTTACCCAAAAATTCAAGTTATAATTGCCACCCCTGTTCAAATATCAACATTCAGAAAATCAACATAAAACTGAAAAATGAGTTGAAAAATCTTACAGGTCTCCAAGTGCCAGGGCAGATCAAGAGCAGGAAGGAAAGAAAGGCTAGTTCAAAAGACAAGATCCCAATATCAGTGTCCTATTAGGAGAGCTTGAGATGTCCCTCCCTGTCTGCCTGTAAGACACAGCTATAGAGTGAGAACAATCACAAAGATGAACCGACATACTGGCATAACAAATATGTTTTTACGTATACAGCAGCAAACAAAATCCTTCCATTCCTAAAACTCACCAAGACAAATACATAATAATTACAATGCAGATACACTATTTTACAACACCTGCATGGCTAGTGTCGCCTAAACAAGTCAACACAACTCAGCTCAAAGTTGTAAGAACTAATTGTCCAAGTAATTTCTACAAGCACAAAACTAACATCTAAAACTGTTCTATACTCTTTATAGTTTCTGCTTTGCAAGTTGTCTTATAGTGTCCTGTTTGGTTGCATCGACTACAATGCACTGTATGCTTTTCACGATTAAGGTCCTCTACACAAATTCGCTTCTTTTCCGGTCGTCCTGGTGGTCGACGAAACTTCGGCGGCCGCACTACTTGCTTTTCATCATCCATAGGGGCCTCGTCTTCTTTATTCCATTCAATTTTACTGGGGATGGGGTGTATCTCTTCTATATATGTCTCCCGATAACTAGCCACAGTAAAACACTTTTCTGTGAAAGCATACACATCTTTTCTAGATGAGATGAGGGCTGCAACAGCATGGGAGCATGGTATTCCATACAATTGCCAATCACGGCAAGAGCAACAATGCGTCCCAATGTTCACAATGTCTGATCGCTCTGCTGATAGAACCTCGAATTCCACATCATCTGATCTTAGGACTTGATATATCGAAGAACGATTAATTGCTTCCATCATACGAAGCTCAGCAGATGGGGCAAGCACAGAAAACCAGGAATTACACTTTGAACGCCGTTCCTCAAACTCAGTCATCAATTTACTGTGAATCCGCTCAATCACCTGAATTATAGGCAGCTCCCGTGCTTCAAGAATCCATCTATTGAACTCATCAATATTTGAAGAGAGATGACCATAGCGTGTACCTTCAAAATATACCAATGCCCAACAGCAAGGTGGAAATTGTTGAAGCCAGTTTGCCGCTTCAGAAGAAACCTCCTCAATTTCTGCCAACTTTTCTTTAAAACCAGTGGAAGTAGTGGAATGTGCAGCTTTCCACAAAAGATGGACAAGCCTTGAATTCTTAAATTCTTTGCCAATGCTTTCACTCAAGTACCGCATGCAAAATGCATGAGAAGAACTAGGGAATTTCCTTTTCACCACATCTACAATGCCTTTTTGTCCATCTGATAAAAATGTAAGGTGTGGGATCTTTTCTGTGTTTATCTCAAGTGCCTTATGTAATTCTGACAGGAACCACATCCAGCTCTCATCATTTTCTACATCAACAATACCAAAAGCAAGCGGAAACAACCCACCATCAGCATCAAAAGAAGTCGCTGAAAGTAAGGTGCCAAGGTATTTGCTTTTAAGCTGAATTCCACCAAGCCCAACAATGGGTAAGCAACCATTCAGGAATCCGTATATAGAAGCATAAAAGGAAACAAAGAGCCGCTGAAATCGAGAATCTGCACCAGCAGTGAACACCTCTGCAATACTTCCTGGATTGGTTCTTTTTATTTGCTCACAGTATCCAGGAAGGAGGCAGTATCCTTCTTCAGAAGAGCCATAAATTGCTGCAAGCCCTCTTTCCTTGGCTCGCCAAGCTTGCTTATATGGTATAGTAATCCCATATTGTTGCTGGATGTCATGCAAAATATCTTTAGGTTTATAGTTTATGTTATCTCGCAGACGTTCTTCAATAAAATTCACAATCCAGTCCACAGAAGCCTGGTGATGCCCATTTTGTGCATTTTTCCCACAAGTATGCGTCTTTTCAAGGCTTCTTATTGTGAATGTAGGGGCATTAGGAAGCTTAACAGCACGAATGCGCCATGGACAACCTTCTGTGGCACACTTTGCAAAATAGCGAATCAGGTCACTTTTTATAATACGAAGCTCGAAGTGTTGTGCAATTGCAGCTTCTTTAATTGCATTCCGGAAGGCCTTGACATCAGGAAATTCTTGACCAACATCGAAATTGTGATCCTCCATACACACTGGTTAAAAGCTCCACCTTATCACTGCTATAGTCAGCCTTTGATGGTAATAATGCTACAAAGAGAAACTCCCTCAAATCTATATGCAACTCAACTGAACCTTGCAAATGAACTGACTGAGGAGTAAGAAATGATGATTTCCGCAATACACTGAAATAAGCAAGTAAACAATAAAAATTTAAATTCTCAGACAGCAAAAAAAATAGATCTATCTGAAAAAAGAACAATAAAAATAAAATCACGCACTTATCTCATCACTACCAGGTCAGGTTAACCTTAACTAATATGAATAAAATAGCCCTTGCCAAAACGTGATAGAACTGAGGAAAGAAATACATACATACATATATATATATATATATATATATATATATATATATATATTATCTCTATTCATGTAAGTACCCACGCATGCATATTTGCATGAAGTAATTTCTAAGTTGTGACCACCTGAATTATCCCAACCTCATATAGAACACACATGTGCATCTGTGTGTTTATAGCAAAAAGCATATCAAAAAGCATCTTGCTCCAGAAGGCCTTAGCTAAATATTTCTATCTAACATGTAACATTTTTTTGGCAGTCAAGGAACAACAAATTGTCCACATATAAATAAGGATCATCAAATGATCATCTGTTGTACAATGCACCATCTAAGTTCCATGACGGACCCGATACTAATTACAGAGAAAAAAGCTATAATATTCATTACAACAGTACATAGCCCGTAGACATCATGGGTGGGTGGGTAGAACAAAATGCTGCACTTCTAAACCTAATCAGCTATAGCAAATGAACCTAAAACCCCTCATCACCTCTACAAATGCTCTTACCACTAAGCTACACTGGCACTACCAATTCGTAACATATTTAAATGCCAGACAATACTTCCTTCCTTTACCTAGAGGAGGAGCTTCCTCCTTGCAACTGACAAAGCGTAATATGACTGGACTATATTAGTAGATTACGTATCGATTTGACGCACCTAAAAAACTAGATTATTTTTTATTTTTTTCTAAGATTATAAAAGGACAAGAGTAAAATAGTATCATGACCCATAGCAGCTTCCTCCTTATAGGTAAGGAGACAATTATTGTTCTTAAATGCCTTTCATTGCTGAATTTTAGTTAAAAGTCACTTTAAATAAGCCCTCTAAGGTCAACCATGAAAAAACAATATTTTGCTCAAGAAACTATGAATGTTTTCAAAATTCATACAAAATCATAAAACAGACTAATCAAAAGACAAACAAGAAACAATTAGAAGTGAAGATCAAAATAGAATTTGACACATAATTTAGTGCAACATAACAGTGAAATATACATACTATTTGTCAACACAACCACACAGATACATATACCATACACATATATGTTTGAAATGTATAATTGAAGAGTTTATATGTATAACAGAAGTTCGATTACAAAAAGCAAAATAAGAAGTTTTGCATGATCTAAAGTACTAGCATACATCCACATCTTCGCGCACACAGTTACACACACATATATACATATATTGGGAGTAAATTTAGATCATGAACTGACCTCAAAAGAAACCGTCGGAGTCTGCGATTAGATACAGAGAGAGATTTTTAGGGAGAGAGATCGGTGTGCACTTGCGGGGAGAGATTGGGCGAGACCAGAAGAGTGAACCTTTTGGGTATTCTGACGAAAGATTAGGGTTGATTAGGTCACAATGTCGGTTATTGTTGTAAATACGTGTACATAGTGGGGGTGTTTAAGTCATTATAAAGTTTGCCTTTTTACGTGAACGGTTGAGATCTAAAGCAGTCGGACACGTGTACATAGCAATCGGCGATACTTGAAAGTTTGCTGATATACGGATTTATGACCCCAAAAAAAGCTTGGGGCTTGAAGCTCAGCCCGAATACGCCGGGCTTTAACCCGATTAGAGCCCGTTAACGGACCAGGACGGGATGGGCCTCAAGAGAGGGTGGATAGGGTTCGTAGCCTTGTGCTTGGTTCCCACGGCCCAGCCCGCTACTCAGGCCCCATCTTTTTTTCCCACACAGTATAAAATTTTCAAGCATGTTGCACCGTGCTTATGAAATTTTCAAGATGCAACCGTGCTTATTTCTGGTGTTCTCGCCGGTAGGGCCGGAACACGCGGTGCAGCAAAACCACCACAATACCTAGAAGGTTTAGGGTGTGCCGTGTATATTAAGTTATTTGGAAAAATTATTAGATGATCTTGATCTATTTGACACTTGGTAGACTAATTCAATGAAAATCCTTCGATTATAAACTTTGTAATTTATTAATACACTCTTGTGGGGTCATTTTCTCATTCAAGAGTCTGTATTTAACTAGTCTACCAAGTGTTAATGATTCAAGACCATCTAATAATTTTTTAAGTCATTTGTAAGTCCAACCAATCACAATGCACAATTTAAGAAAATTGATCCCATCAATTTATGAAAACCGTCAACAACTAACTCCAATTTATTTAAATTGTCTATTGTGATTAGTTGGGCATATGTTCGGCACACCTTAAACCTACTCCGCTGGTATGAGTCCAATCTCTATCAGACAACATTTTTAATGAGTCTTGGCCATTCACTTGGGAAGAGCACACAAATGCTAGTAACAGGACTTCAATGCCTTATCTTCATTCACTCAGTTCTCTCATTTTTTTAACCCAACAACATAGATGGCTTCATTAATGTGACAACTTGGTACTAATGCATGTTACAGCTGTGCTCCAGCCTTATATTTATACATATATCATAATGTCTTTGATCAAGCGAAGGTGGACATGGGAATCACAATCAAATGCAAACCATTCTCTCTCTCTCTCTTGACACTAAATTAATCCAAATGTCTGTCAAATTCTTTTGTTTGATTCCATTTGGGAGCCTACAGGAAAATTAAGGCTTTGAAAAAAATAAAAATAAAAATCAAACATGTCACGTCTCAATTTAGTGTGTTGTCCGCATCTACAAAACGCTACACCACCAAAAACCGTATCCAATACAAAATTATCTCTGGATGAGTATAGAACTATTTCAAATTTTAAAGTATACATATATATATATACACACACACACACACGTGAATCATTCAATTTGATTATGAAATGCAACTGTCTTATCTGTGGACATTAACTGGGACCTCCCCTCAAGAAGTTGTTTCAACTTCCAACTGTACAGGCATCTCACCCAAAAAATCATAAAAAATAAAATAGAATAAAAAAAAAAAATAAAAAAAACCTTTAGAACATCTCCAATAGTAAAATGCTAAATTCGGATGCCAAATATATATTTTGACAGTGTTACAATGTCAAAATACTACATTTTAGCAATTTTGCTCCAATGATGCATTTTATGCAAAATGCTATTTTTTGACATAATTACTATTCTTTTTCAACTGCCATTCCCATCATTCATATTTGCATCAGTAATGTTAATATTAGGCACATTTCAAGTCAAGTTGTAGACATTAGAATGAAACTAAAGTTAAACTTAATTAAAAAGAATCAAAAATCTAAAATATCTGGTCAAAAAAGGACTCACAAATATATATATATATATATATATATATATATAATCAATATATATATATATATTTGATTATATAAAAAAATTTTATATAATTTTTTTTTCTTTTTCAGAAATTTATATTATATTATATATATATATGTATGTATGTATATTATATATATTTGATTATATTATTATTAAAAATATATATATATATTTAGGGCAAATCATTTCAGCCTCCCAAATCGCCATATATAGTTTTAGGGTAAATCATTTTAGCCTCCCCAATGGCCTCCATCTCTATTCTTGTTCTCAACTCCCCCCCCGCCCCCCCCCCCCCCCCCCCCCTCTCTCTCTCTCCCCTCTCTGTGCAACTGCAAACTACAAAATCAACAAGAATCAAAAGTTCAAAACCCATATATTTCAGTTTCCATCGCCCGTTGTTCCAGCTGTCTCTCAACTTTCAAGCTTGTCCCCCCCCCCCCCCCTTCCCTCTCTCTCTGCAACTGCTAACTTGTACGTATGGGTTTTGTTTTATTTATTTTTTCTAAATCAACTAATCAATGCCTTTAATTCTTGTTTTGCAAACTAAATCCTATTTGGTGAAATTTTTTATGATCTTTTTCAAAATCGATCTGAGAAGAAAAAGATATACACACACACACACACACACACACACACACATGAGGATGAGAGGGGAAGAGAAAGAGAGACGGATAGAATTGAGAGATATAAAAATAGCTGTTGCTATAAGTTTTGCTAGATTTGGCACCAAAAATAGCAAAAGCAATTTTTGGCAGGTGAAATAGCAGCTCATTGGAGGACTTAATTTTAACCCACCTGCTATATTTTGAATTGGCAGCCCATATAGCAGGTGGGTTGGCGATGCTCTAAGAGCATCTCCAATCCAATGTTAAAAGGGCTGTCATTTCTAAAATATAACAAGGGGACTTCAAAAGGAGTTCTTCAATGCAATGCTAAATTTTTAACTTTGTCAAAAGTTTTGCCAATTGTAGCACAAGAAATAGCTATTGTCATTTCAGAGAGAGAGAGATAGGCGGGGTTCAGAGGCCATATATATTTTAAAAAGATCATAAAAAATTTCACGAAAGAGGATTTAATTTGCAAAACAAGAATTACATACCTTGATTTTAGTTGATTTAGAAAAAAATTAAAACAAAACCCACACGTGCAAGTTAGTAGTTGCAGAGAGAGAGAGAGGGGGGGTAAGCTTGAGAGTTGAGAGACAGAGGCTGAAGCTTGCGAATGGCGATCCCGAACTAGAACGGCGAGCGATGGAAACTGAAAGATATGGGTTTTGAACTTCTGATTCTTGTTATAGTTTGCAGTTCCCGGGCGAGGGACGGGAGGGTTGAACGAGAATAAAGATGGAGGCGATTGGGGAGGCTGAAATGATTTGCGCTAAAAATATATATGACGAGGAGGCTGAAATGATTTGCCCTATATATATATATATATATATATATATATATATTTGGGTCCTTTTTTGACCAGATATTTTAGATTTTTGATTCTTTTTAATTAAGTTTAATTTTAGTTTCCTTTTAATGTCTACAACTTGACTTGGAATGTGTCTAATATTAACATTTACTTATCCAAATATGAATGGTGGGAATGGTAGTTGAAAAAAATATAGTGGTTGTGTAAAAAAAATAGCATTTTACATAAAATACATCATTGGAGCAGAATTGCTAAAATCTCTTAGTTATTCACATTATGGCACACTTTACTAACCAGTCACCCAATGAAATAAATTTAGTAACCAAAATACAAGTCTTCAAGTCGTGGGCAAATCGTATCCAAACTTGGGTGTGGGTTCAATTCTCTGTACTTGAACATGAGTTCAAATCTCCGCCACTGCGCAATTCCGCGCTAGGGTAAAAAAACACAATTCAAAGCATTGCAAGTACTTTGTACATGGAGAAAGTTATAATGGAATACATTAAAATTTTATTTTCCTTGAAGAAATATACAGTTCAAATTCAATAGGAAAACATATTCCAAGTTAAAGAACAAACTTATGAATCTAAAATACAGCCGATGCGCGACAACATCCCATCCTTAGTGAAGCTGGATCTCCACCTTAACAATTTTTTTTTAAAATGGAGGACCAAATACTGTATAAACTATTTCTTTCTTGATTACTAGTATATTTTACTAACTCAATAAACAGGAGGTGCTCTGTAATATGCTGGAACAGTCCCGGGGAAGAACATTTGTCTCACTCCTTCGGCCCTTATAATGGGGAAAATGATACCAGATGCACCCTGAAATGAGATACAAGTCAAAAAAAAAAAAAAAAAAAAAAATGATATTTTATTTCTAAGGAGAAAATTTTATTAGCATTAAAGGAATGAATTATGTTAATTTGCTGCAAAAAGATGGAGATACCTACCGAAATCAATCTGGCTCCTAGCCACACTCGTTTTGGTGAAGGAAATGGAATGAATAAGCGGCCAACGCCATAGACAGCCACAGCGAAGAAATGGAGAACCAAGCTCAATGGGCGGGGGTTCAGACCGGAAAGTAGAGCCACCGGTCCATTTGAACAAATGCCTCCGAGGCTCAGATAATTGAAACATGCTTCGCGCATTGCTTTCCTCGCTGGGTCAGGTGATGCACAAAAAACTTTGTACAAGGCACCCGCCAATGTATTTATAGTAGATGCAACCGGCTGCAAAAATCAAAATGCCATTTCATTAGCTAATAGCCCTAAATCTTGCTTAAAACTAAGATCCATTATGATTTCACACAGAATTAATAATTTTGTGTTGAATTTTTTTTTTTTTTTTCCTTGAAAATTGCTACAAAATCTAGAAAAACAATTGGTTACAATGTTATGAATTTGGTAATCATGCAACAAAATCTAGAAAAATAATTGGTTACTATGTTATGAGCTTGGAAATAATGCAGCAACTCACTTTACGCAGGGTGTAGAAGGACTCGAGATATTTGCATAGGGTAGGCGCATCATTCAGATCATGGAGAGGTCTAAGAAGATCTCGAAGTACAACAATATCTGATAGAGCTACCGTCATTCCTCCTCCTGTTAACGGATGTCGCATGTTGAATGCGTCCCCCATTAAAAGTGCACCCGGAGTGGGATGGGGATCAGCTGGCATGCTTCTATTCGGCATTGTTCTTATATTTCCTTTGTCAATTGCTGCTATGAAGGCATTATATAGCTCGGGGGGAATCTGAAGCACACGAGTTTTAGTCAATACAAAATTCAGTGAATTACGTAGCAGAGCGTAAAAAGTGAAAACAAATGAGAGGTGATCGTATTGATCGCTATAAAATTGATACCTGAGGAGCCACCGCAGTCTTCAGATATTGTGCCATTTCACCATTAGAAACGGAAGGCACCTTCTGTCCAGGCACATCAACCAAACAGCGAGTCTCGGTGGTGCTGATTTGATAGAACAAGATGGGCGAAGGGTCTGCTAGTATAACATGCCCATGATTTACATGAGGAAGCTGACAATTTTCTAGGACCAAACCAACGAAACAGGAAGGCACTTCCACCTATAGAATATTATAACAATGTGGAAGAGTTAGTACCAAAAATCAAATTCTGAACACATAATCCATGCATTCAAACTTGACCGTCTGCTACAAGTAAGATCGGAACTACAGATTATAAGCTTAATCAGTAATCTACAACTTGAAATGGTGAATATATTTGTAATAACATAGCATCGTTGTAAAATGAGTAAGACAGCATATTCACCTTAGGATTGCAGAGAGTGCGTCGCAAATTTGAAAAACAACCATCACAAACAATTGTGAGAGGAGCGTATGCTGTCATTTCTTGGCCATCCTTGGTCTTATATTGCACCCCTTTGATGGTTCCTTTTTCTTCAAACAGAGATGTTACTGTTCCTTGCTCCAGTCTTACACTGAATAGAGAATTAATGAAGCGACATGAATAAGAAATTGCGGAAAGATAGAATTTCAGATAAATCAACTGTAGTACATTAAGGCTCAAAAATCAAACAGAATATAGAATTAACTTCATACGCTGATGAACTAAGTCAATCGTACCAAGCAGAGCACTACAGAAAGGGAATTTCTTTTATTTTATTCTTATTAAAACACCAGAAAAATCAAATTAGGACAAAATTCAACAATAGTTCTTTTCTTTCTACTTAATTGGGTGGATTTTAGCTATATATAGAGATACACAAGCTTGCAAGGTTGTCCAGCTTTCTTAATCATGATGTGGAAAGTCTTATCAAGATTGTAACAAATAATTGGACTATGAGAATAGAACAAACGCGGTAAAAGGTTAAAGACAGAAACAGTACTTTGGAAGAGTTGAAGCTTTCTCCCGCATTCGTTGTATGAAACGCCCGTTGTGAAAGCTTCTTCCGGCAACGTCGGAGTGGAATTTCTCCAAGGGATAAGACAGTGTAGTATCTTTCCCATCCTTATAGAGAGCATATCCAAACACTCTTTGAGCATCAATCTCATTCACACAATCTGCAGACAAACATATAAAATATTTGTCACAAAGCACATCCAATTGTAAAAGTAAAGTAAGCAATAAAAGTAAAAACCATTAATTTCTAAACAAAAAAAGAAATCATAGTAACAAGTTTTGAGTGCAACAGTACAAAGTTTTCAATTTTAGTTACTCAATTACTTACCCTCAAGACCTAACTCAATTAATTTGAGATAGCCTCCGGGCTGAAGAAGCTCACCAACAATTCTGTCTGGTTCACTCAAATCTCTTTCGATAACATGTACGTTGCGTCCATCCTGCAACCAATAGTAGAAGAAAGGTCGCTGATTAGACTCAAAACCGAAATATTACCAAATTTTTTTAAAAAATAAATAAAACAAACAAAATATGTCATCATCATGATGCTTATTCAAGGTCAGATTTCTCTTATCCTCTGGATTTAAAGTCTAATACAGTCGTAGTCCTGGTGATATTATGCTGAAGTATTATCATTTCTTTGATAAAAACCGTAGAAATTGGAAAATACAAAATCCAAAAACAGTAAACGTAACGTATGATCACTAATTTCTACCTTACAAATTATTTCACTCTTTTGTCACATCAGACAAATGCTAAAGCTTTCAGAATATTATCCACAACAAAGAGGACTATCCAATCAAAAATTCAGTTTTACTTTTTAGCAAGATAGAATTGAAATTAATTATCAAAAAGAATATTGAGTCATAATTTCAATTTCCCCTCTATTAAAAAATTAGGATGATGACTAAATGAATTCTAGACTACCGGAACAGATAGTTTATTATTGCGTTTTTAATTAAATTTCCTCCGATTTTAATTCTATAGCACGGATTCCGTGTTCCAAACATAGCAATATTGTATTTGGAACCCGAAAGAGGAGGACATACAAAAAGGCTTTAGCCTTTAACAAGTTGAATAAACTTATCAACAACTACCAAAAAAATAACATATAAATTAGAACACTTTGTCGAAACAAAATCTAAATGCCTGCACTAACTCGATCAACCAAAAAGATATATAATAAAATATTAATAAAACAACAATCTATGAATAGTTTCATCAAATTAAAAATTCAAACCAAAAACATTTAGATATCTGCATAATGAAATGGTCTGTTTTGTTAGTTTTCTAAAAACAGTTCTAATTTGAAAAATAGAAAATTGTTCAAACATTTTATTAGTTAATTCTTCAGAATTTGTTAATCAAACACATTTTTATACAATTCTGATTTAAAAACATAAAATTGTTCCAAAAAAACTGAATCAAACCGTCCCCAAAATTCTCCTAGACTATTTAAAATAAAATAAAAAAATTCATCCCCAAAAGGAACACTATGATCCTCGTTATGGGTGCTATATATATTCACATATATATATATATATATATATATACACACGCTAGGTAGGTAGATAATAGTTATATACACACGCTAGGTAGGTAGAGAGAGAAAATTACTTTTCCGAGAGTGTAAGCAAGGGCAGAACCGGCGACACCGGCACCGACGATGATGACGTCATTACTTCCGGCGGCAGTCTGCGGCGGGCGTCCACCATTTTCAGAACTCTTAACACATTGATCATCTTTTCGGATCTCCATTGAAACTCTGCTTTTCATCAATTTCCTTCTTGAAGTAGTGTACAGAAGAACAAACCCTAACAGAGAAGCAACAATTCCTCCCAGAAAGTACTCATCAATCATCACCATCTTCAATTCCATGGAGAGAATGCGAGGAGGAGGAGGAGGAGGATGATCGGTTTTGTTTCTCGCTCTAAAGCTTTCTCTCTCTAGAATGCTTCTTGCTTCTACGTGTTTGAACGTTGGAACGAAGGTTTACAACTGTCATGGCGCCCTTTATAGGCAAATCAATATCGTTCCATAATAAAGGCGTGAATGCGCCTACCACAATTTTTTATTATTAAAAATGAGGGGTCGTGTTTGGGTCTAACGCTATACAAAGTAACAAAGCAGTGTAACGCTGTACAAAGTAAGAGTTAAGACTCGCCAAACATGGACACGTGGTATTATAATTTTTCATTTTGGTAAATTATTTAAAAAGAATTTAATTTAACAACCAAAAAAAACAAAATTTAATTGCTTATATATGGTGAGACTGAATTTATGTGGTTGTTTCCGAATTAAAATTATTAGCTCGGTCAGTATAACTTTTCCATTTTCAAAAAGAAGTGTGCAGTTTAAACTCTGTATAGTATAAATATATAAGTATTTACATAATCAAAATAATAATAACAACAATAATAATAATAACCTTCACTTAAATAGTTAAAAAGAATTATACAAATTTCTTATTACATTTTCTAAAGATAAATATCATTTTTTCTTTCTTTTTGGTCTCCAAACTATTAATGTTAGGATGTAATGTTAGGAGATCTATATATGACTCAAACCTCGTAATATAATGTTTTTTAAATAATGATTTGTAGTCTGAAAGTTACATAATTTCGATTAGTCCTTACTCACATAATATTAGTTGGATGTATCCGAATGTCGAACTCCTATCATTTTACTCATTTTTTTTTCTTCTTCTTTCAAGAATAATTATTTGTTTCTTAATTAAAGACATATTTAAATATTGATATTATTTTATGAAAAATGATATTTAAGCCTATTAGTTAGCTCTATATGTCAAAGTAAAATAATTATGTACATTAATGGCCTGAAACCCTGAGAGGTTGGCCCAGAGGGTAAGAACTTAGGTTCTGGTGTCTCAAAGAAGTTTTAGATCTCATGTTCTATTTGTGCCTTAAAGACATATTTAACTATTGATATTATTTTATGAAAAATGATATTCGAGCCTATTAGTTAGTCCTATTCGTCAAAGAAAAATAATATGGACATTGACCTAAAACCCCGGGGTTTGAGAATTTGGGTTCTGGTGTTTCGAGAAGTATCATGTCTTAGGTTCGACTCTTTGGGTACCTTAAGCCATTAATGACCTTAATTGTTATATTTTGACAAATACGCCTAACTAATTGGTCTGAATATTATGACTCTTATTTCTTAGATTTATTAGTTAAGGGTGTGTTTGGTTGGATGGAAGTAACAAAAACAAAAGCAAACGATATTATTTAATAATAATAATAGTAATAATGAGTTCGGTAAAAAGGAAAGTAGTTATTTATTTATTTATTTTTTAAGAAAGTAACAAGTCTGCTTAATTGATTTGTAGTTTTGGAAATCGTTCTCAGAAATTAATAAAATAGAGAACAATTTTAGGGAACTATACAAGATAGTTATTTAAAAATAGATTTTTTTTTTATAGTTTTTAAAAAATAATTATTAAAAAATTGAATCAAATAGAAATTTTCAATTATCTGAAGACAAACCAAGCCCGCCTAAGATTATTGAATGCTTATCTACCATCAAATTGGCTATCATGATCTATGATGTTTCTCCATCATGGGGCAAGAAATAAAATAGAGAGTGAAGAGACGTTAGTCAAAGTGTTGCACTAGAAAATTTCTCATTGCAAGAATGGGTTGTTGGGCAAGGCTTAGTTTGGTCAATTGTGGGGACTAAAAACAATTCAGATAAAATGTTAAACAAAATTCAAGGTCTTAGATGTTATAATGCAAACAGAATATCATAAACAATTACCACTACATTAACTTAAAAACACAAAATTAAAATCAAAGTAAAAGAAAATATTCTCTAAATCTGATTAAGTAGTAAACAAATATAAAATAATTAGCATACTAGATTAAACTATTGACAATTTGACATGAAGTAAAGACGAAGTAAAAAGATGGGTCAAGTCAACAGTTTAATACAGACTGTCACGTAATACAAGGTTTGAGTTGTTGCCACTGAGATTAATTTTATCATTTTTTATCAAATATTTAGGTTTTAATTAATTAATTATATAAATAAATGAGAAGGTCAACTCATATTAATTAGTATTTTAGGACTGCATAAATCAATGTGTTTCACAGTTCACTCCATGCACAATTGTAATTTTTATATATCGATGACAATTTTGACAATTCAATATTTAGATAAAAACACTAAAACAAGCTACGTCTCATAGATCTAAGATGTCTACCTGAATCCCAATTCAATAAATCAGTCAAAACTTCTTGTCAAATTCCAAAATTATGATTTAGCTAATATAGAGATTGAAAGAAAAAAAAAAAGGAATTTGTTTTTTTACTAAATATTTTACCCAAAAAAAAAAAAAAATTCCTAATTGATAACTTCAAGAAGTATTCAAAGGATAAAAGCAGTTGGTCACCGACCTAGGATTTTTTTTTTTTTTAGCACTTTAAATTTTTGAGAATACATGAAGATGCCCCGCTAAAATTATAATTTGTCCTACTAAATTATTATTTTTTTGGCATTTTATACTTTAAATTTTTAAAAATTATAAAAAAATTGCATTGAAATTACAAAAATAGACACACTATATAATTAAGTTTGCCTCACAAATTAAAAAGTGGCAGTCTGCACCGCTAGCACTTCATAGATAATGATTTGAAATTTGAAAGTCAGATAATTTAAACTAATTTATGTGAGTCTGAGTTGATATTATCATGTATAAAAAAACAATATCCTTAAATGGGCATGTAGTAAACTAACATGAGTTGAGAAAGTTAAAAAAGATAAAACATGATTTAAACGAGATTATGACTTTAGATCAATAGATCCAAATGGCTTGTGAATTTATTTTATTATTATTATTATTTTTTTTTTGTGTGAAAATTGTTGGAATATTACTAAAATGGATGCACATTGTACATGTGTAGTGTAGTTTTATGCCAAGCCAAATCCCCATAAACGAAATTGGAGCGAAACTTTCCTCCACGTTTTTTTTCCCACCCCTTCAAGAAAAGTTTATTACAATTGTAAGCAAAAATCTAATTAAAGTGGTAGTTGTTGACACTCTTTTATTGCTGTGGTTGAAGTTGGAACCACGGAAATGCTCTTCATCAATTGAAACTTAAAAGTGCTGTCATATATATATATATATATATATATATATATATAGATACACACACACACAGCTATATATATATAAATATATATATATAGGGAGAGAGTGATTGAAATTGGAAACACGTAATATGGTTTTCATGAATTGAATTTGATTATGATGTATTGCGACCTTAACGGTGGACTTTAAGTTACGTCATTTCACATCATTAGGTATCAATAATCTCAATCTATCTTTTCTCTTTTTACATGGCAAAAATATTTAGATTTTGACTAGCAATTTTCAAACAGTTTGTTGTCCTTATTTCTTACTACTATTAAAAAAAAAATAGAGTATTATAATTACTATATATACAAAAATGATTGATCCTCCAAAATAGATCGAATCATTTTTTGAAAACATCCAGCTGTGTGAGATGCTTTTGGAGTAGTTTTCAGAATATCACCACTCATATATATATATATATATATATATATATATATATATATTATTTGAACATATATATAGTTTTGACACTTTAGTTTCAGTATGAAAAATATTTTTATTTAGAATTAAGAAAAGAAAAAGAACTTGGTCATGCTGCCCTATTTTGACTTTTATAATCTTATATATATATTGGTCTAAATAAATGTCTCGTGTAACACACAGATTCTACAAACCATTTCAATATAATATATAAGATATGCTTGTCAAGAAAATCTTTACTCCCCATAATTCAATGCGTGTGTGCACTCATGGTGTGAAAGCGAAATCAGGGAGTTGTTGAAAACAGAAACTTGCAAGATTCGTTTACTTCAAGCAATGGTTAGGTGAAGATGATTAAGTGAAGAGTAGGGTTGTTAATTTTATTCATTTTATGTGTGTCTTAGCAATTTACAACCAAAGCCTATCCCCTCCCCTCTAAATTCTAGGCCAATATATACACACACATGACGCACCAAAGAATCAGAGCAAATTAATTTTTTTTTAATAATTTAGAAGTTTGTTTAAGGAAAATTTTGAAGAAAAATTAATTTCCATAACTTTCCTAAAATTTCCAACAAAAGAACATAATTTTTTTGATTTCTTGAGAAAGTTTTATGAATTTACAATAATGCCATTTCTTTTATGGCAAGTTTCATAAAATAGTAATTTGAAAACTTTTCTTGCCAAGCAAATACATGATAGAAATTTTCTTTTCTTTTCATTTGCTTTACTTTCTTCTACTCTCACTTTCCACTTAAGTAACACAATCCTTTTTAATGGGTATTACTCTTACTCTTGCTCTTACTCTTACTCTTATTCTTACTGTTTGTGATTTAATTTTGTCGTTTTCTCGCTCCCTCTCTCTCAAATTCGCTCTCGCTTCTGCTCCGACTCCTGCTTTACGTGACTTAGTTTTCCACTCTCAATTTGCATCTAACCAAACCAAAAAATATCTTGTTAATCCATTTCTTTACTCTTAAAAGATAACAGCCATATATGTTTTTGAGGTGATCATTTCATCTACCATTTAAACTAAAATAAGCCTAAACTAAGTATAGACGCTTGAATTTTCTATTAAATATTAAATGTGATAGTATTTCTTTACGCAACCCTCCTCCATATGCCATTCTTGTAAGGTGTGTGGGAAATGGTACAAATGATATTTTTGTGTTGGAATTTTTTTTTTTTGTTCCATAGTCAAGTTCATACTATAGTGTGCAAACAAAATGGAATGTGAGCCTTATTCCTAAATAGTCAACTTGTCAATAATGTGATCGATTATGTTCACTCACACTTGGAAAAAAAACAAAAGGGTAAGCAAGACTTTTAAAGAACATAGGACATAAGTTGGTAAAGACTGAAAATAGTTTTAAGCAAGAACAAGGATAATGCCTTTCTTTGACTATGTAGTCTATGCTTTTGAGTG